TGCACCTACTTTTATTTTATATTTTTAGTCTAGTGGTTTAATTTCTGTTTAGTATAAAAAAGGACAGAGGTTAAAACCCTGATTTAATGTAGGCCTATGTTTTTTTTGTAATAAAACAATAAAAATTGATAATGATTCCATTGGTGTGCCATGGGGGAATAGGATAACCTGTCAAACCCTAATAATAATAATAAATACATATGTTATTATCAATACTAGGCTATATAAATAATTCTTCATCAATATTTGGTAGGAATCCTCCAATGGAACACAAATCAAGTCATTAGCAATTTATCTTATTTATAATCATAACAACAATAATTATACAGTGCATTTGTGCCATTAATTCCCGCCCACTTTTTCAGTGCATGGCGTTGGTTCCAACGTTGTTGTTTTTTTCATTCATTTTTTCCATGTACACTTTTAAAAAGTCTTAATTGAAGCAAAATAAACCATGAACAAAGCCAACCAAGATGAATCACAAAATTATGAACATTATTTGAAGCCAAAAAAATAAAAATATTTGAAATTATTTGAAAATTGGACAAAAAAAAAAGTGACTGCGTACTTAACGGCTTTAGTGAGGGAAAGAACTACAATCCCAAGAAACATTGCAACGACAAATAAAACTATTCATGCAAAGTTGTTGATATATCTATCTAATACAAGTTGATATACTGTATCTGTCTAATACAAATTTGTATTCATATGCATTCATGCAAATTAAATTTTTTTCAACATGGAAACATTGTTTCACGTATTGGAACGTGTGAGTAAGCGATGACAGAAGAGTCTTTTTTTGGCCAAATTATTCTTTAAATATAAAGACGGCAGTCCATTAAAGCCGAGCATGAAGGTTCTATTTGTAATTCATTTATCTTACATGCGTGAATGAATTCCCAGCCAACCTGCAATGGAGTCCGCTACATGCACTACACACCGCTGTCTTGAGTGTGAACAGCAATGCTTTTGAAACGATCCATGTGCATGTGAGCGTGTGTAAACGCATGCACAAATAAGACATAGTGCCGCCACTATGTCAAACTGCGACGAGTTTAACACATGTACTATATGGAGTCGGAAGGAACAGTATGTTTTCGTTGTACGCCCTGCATTTATGCCTATACCCCGAAAAATGATTTTGAACTCTGAGCACACAGATCCTCAAGCCCCTCAGTGCCATGGAAACAGCATATCTCCGATAGCAACAGTGACCATGGTGACATTTGTGACGTAACCTGATGTTCTGTCATTTCTGTAGTGGGGTGTTTTAATTCTTTTTCTCCCTCTCTCTCTGTTTCTCGAGGTCCCTAATTGCAGCTCATTTGGAAGCACGAACGCGTTGTTGTCTTTAAAGATGCATATTAAAATCAGATATCAATCCAGGCTCTATCTTCTCAATGCCTCAAATGATCTTTTGTCTGACAGAGGTGTGAACCTGGAGACCTGTAAATTTAGCAGTCTCGCACATATTTTGCGAGACTTTTTTGTCAAGCCGTAGGCAGCATTTGCACAGACTGCTTGTTATGTCACCATTAGTGCTGAAAGGCACTATTAATAATATTTCGTTAGAGTATGTGCATAGATTTGTGCAATAAGGTTCAACTGACATAAGATTATGTTGTTGATGTGTCATTGTACTCCCTCTCCGACTATCATCCTGTTTTTCTTTGCTTCACTCACTTACTCATGCACCCTGCTTTGCAATCAATAACTCATCTTTCAGCGTCGATTTTCCTCTTCCCCACAGGAAAACAAACGTCCTTCTACAGGACAAACAAAGGGGAGAGAGGGGGAAAGAGATGATGACACACCAAAAAGAGAGGACAGGATGCGTGTCAGATATACTGAAACTGAAACATACTGTCATTTTAAGGGAAGGAAAAAGTGGGCCAGGGGGTGCTGGCTGGGGGAAGACTGAAAGGGTAGTTATGCGATGGATGATTAGCCCTTGTATCCAAAAGTTACCCTTTACAACTGTATCAGCGCAGAGCGGATTGGAAGAGACGAGGAGGGGTTGTTTGGGGGGACGGCATATGGAAGGGATGGAGCTTAAATCAGCACAGAGATCAAAGGCCTGTATTGACCTACGGTACAGATGCATTAATTTCATATAACTTGGACTGCGAAAGATAGACAGGTTTTAAGGCTCACAATGTGAAAATGATATTCGGCTCAGGATTAAAAGGCAGCTGTAATACTGAGTTTATAACTAGGAATCTTCTTAAAGGGGACATTGGATGCAAAATTCATATAAATGTTTGCATATAAATGTGTTTTAGCAGTGGGTGGACACAACCACCCTGCAATGATAAAAATCCATTGACTACTTTTTTTAATCCCCAAAAAAACCTAAACAGTCTCAATCAAGCTGTTTGCTCAGGCCCCGCCCACGACCGCTGACAGACTGTATTAGCACATCTCCACTAGTCTTGCGTAGCCAGACCTTCAGACTGACGGCTGAAGGTCTGGAATTCATGGCAGCTTTTATTGGCCAAGGCCCGCCCATGAGGCCGTTTGACCGACATGTCAAACAACCAATCACAGTTCGTTTAGTTTCAGCGTCACGCTTCGGGGCGTGGAAATGTCGCCACAATAACAGACCGGTGTGTAAAACTCTCGGACGTATTTTAAAGATTCTATGCCGCGAATTTGAAATATTTCACATACTTTTGAAAATCCGGCGTTTAACTGATCCTGATAAGCGCTCATCGTCACAGTTGTAAAGGGGGTGAGGGGGTTTGGCGCCACGGCATCTTTGTTTCCAGGCGGAACGTTAAAGAACGCGACACACGTCTCCCGGAAATCCTGTATAATTCAACCAATCCGATGACTTCGAAACTCCTGAAGTGTTTCCACTTTTGTGTGCCGTATGCATCAGACGTTCAATCAATGGTCCGTGGGCGTGACGTCTGAGGCTGAGACTACATCTCCGCCCTCAGCCAGTTGTATGCTGTCCGCCATTTTCTCTGCGCTCGAGCAGCTCTAGCAACAACAATGACTCGCAAGCAATGCAGGTGTTTTGTAGTTGGATGTAAAAGTGAACATGAGAGTCTTCATTTTCTCCTGACATCAGAGCCGCTAAGGACACAGTGGATTAGTTTAGTTTTTGATGGTAATGCTCCACCGAATACACTTAAATTTGTTTATGTCTGCGCAAATAATTTTACTCCAGATTGCTTTCTGAATGAGGGACAATTCAAGGCAGGTTTTGCTAAAAAGTTAAAACTCAAGGATGGATCAGTACCCACCGTTTGTGATCCAGCTGCACCAAGACACACTTGATATTTTTTATGATTATTTGCAAATCTTCCACGGAAGAGAGGGGTGGAGTGAGCAGTAGCTCATTATCATTTAAAGAGACATAATGGTTCACTGTGAACAGAGCTGTTTTTGACAAGGTAAAAAGGCTGTTCTTTTACATGACCATTGAGGAATTTTAACCAAAGTATGTTACAGACGTTTCATGAAGACCCTAAAGAATCTTACCAACTTGTGGAAAATGGGCATCCGATGTCCGCTTTAAAGAGATTGTTCACCCAAAAAACATTTACTCTACCTCATGTAGTTCCAAACCTGTAGGACTTTCTGGCTTGTGAATAAAAAGAGGAGAGTTTTAGCATCTGCTCCTTATCATACAATAAAAGTGAATGGTGACTAGGGGCTGTCAAGCTTCAAAAATGACAAAAAGGCACCATAAAAGTACTATAAGGGGCTGTTGACATACAATGCTTTTCTATTCCACTGCACCACTCTTCCATTGTTTTGTAAATGTGCTAGATAAATGTTTTTGACCGTACTGAATATTTTATTTTGTAATGTTTTTTTACAGTATCTTGCACATGATGCAGCATTCTGTGGCACTCAGGTCAACTTTAAAAAAAAACGTGTCTTGATGCCTTGCGTTTTTACCCCCCATTCCACTGCCCATGTCTCAGTTTTTTCTGTGAACTCTGGCCCATACGACCTGTGCCCTGTAATCTTATGAAGTCATACAATCACACAAAGCTATAGTAAGACTTCAAAAGACTTTCAATGTAGCACATGAATCATGTCGTTACAGTATGTAGAAATAGAGCAGGGCAAATTGTTCTGTGTCTTTTGTGGTCTGAGGTACAAATAAAATTATATTGGAATAAGTTGAGGGTGAAAATATTTTTTTATTTTTGGCTGAACTGTCCCTTTAACCTCAAAACTACAGAGAACAGCTGGAACATCTATTAATAATAGATCTCAACAGATGTATGTAGCTTTTAGTGTTGACAGCTGTTTATTAAGTTCAAGGGTGGAAACAAGGGGCAATACAAAACAAAACCTTCAATAAAAAAACAAAAACACACACCGTGACAACTGAATTCACTGGAAAAAGGAAAATTAAAGATGACTGGCAAAGAGTGGCAGTATTTTCACAATACTAAAGATGGCGCAATCATTTCAAGTTCAGCTATTAAAAAATCTATAGCATCTCTAAACTGTTACATGACTTTTGGTTTTGAATGGAATTGTGATGCAGGATTCAGGGATACAGTGCAGTCTGGGACATTTGTGCGCATTAGAACCAGTGTAAACATTCTGCATTATCAGATGCTTAAAATAGGTGTGAAAACAGAGCCCAGCCGAGGCTGTGGTAACACTAGAGTACATATGTATGTGTGCCTTGCAATGTTGGGAAGGTTACTTTGGAAATGTAATAGGTTACAGATTACAAGTTACCCTATTTAAAATGTAATAGTAGTGTAACTTTTTCAATTACTTTATTAAAGTAATTTAACTGATTACATTTGATTACTTTTCTAAATTTCTAATGAATGTTTATTTGCAACTGTTAATCATTTTCAAACATCTACACCATGCAGGGTTAACCTTACAGTAGTGCTCAACACTGTCAGAGTAACGCCGTTACATGTAACTAGTTACTCCCCAACACTGGTGCCTTGAGGTGAGAATAAGGATTGTTAAATCGCTTACATAATTTATTCAGTGCAAGTGTGGATCGGGCACCCTGGGTGAAGTGTGTGCCACAGCACTATTGTGAAGGGCACGTTTACAGACTAGGCTGCCTTTCGCTGATCTCTTACCAGGAACATGGAGGATCTCTAATCCAACTCCATACCAAGAACATGGAGGAAGTCAGTGTGGAATTACCATGCTACTATATAAAGAATGCAAAAAGAAGTATTTTGTCGTTTTCCTGTACACACACACACACGCATAAAGTTTAAAAAAGGGCAAATTTAATAAAGTTGCATAAATTTATATTATTGCATTAAAAATTATATTTATAATTATATTAAATAATTATAATTATATTATGATTATATATAAATCAACTATCTATCTATCTATCTATCTATCTATATATATATATATATATAGACAATATAATTTTCCGTAATTGTTTATATATAATGTTTATTTACGCGTGAAGACTCAATATTTTACACAATTTTGTGTAACTGTGTCTTGTTTTAAGGCTGCTTAGATATTTTTACTGGAAAATAAAATACTGATTAAGATTTTCAAAGGGGTCATATGATGTTGCTAAAAAGAACATTATTTTGTGTATTTGGTGTAATGAAATGTGTTTATGCAT